GGATGTGAAAGACAATTGTTCAAAACTCTGATCATTATAATTATTGTACTGTGATTTAAGGAAATAGAAATTAATTTTTTTATAACTACCTTTCTTTTAAAGAAAATTGAATTGATATCCTCTCAGTTTTAATATTTCACTTATCAAAAAATTAAGACCCTGAGAGACAATAGTTAATGAATCCATTATTTATTATAAAACTATTATAGTATCTCATATAATTGTATTAAAAAATTATAAATTATTAAAAATTCCTTTAAAACTTAAATAAAACATTGTACAAGTAGTAATTTTTTAAAAATAATTAGGATTGAATAATTGATTCTTTTTAAATTAAGGTACAACGGCATGAATCAAATCAGATGTTAAGTTTATACAAATGTTTATGAAATGCTCGTTTCCGGTAGGTTTTTTTTTTCAGTGCTTTTTTTCTGGTGCTTTTTTCGGTAATTTACAAAGTATGCTATTTTGAATATCAGAGAAAATAATATCTAATTACAAAAGTACCAAGCTGTTATTAAAGATTTCAAACTTTGTTTGAGAAATTAAAATAAAAATCCCCCTATTCAATCAGCATTAAATTAAGTACGAGATTTCCTTAAATCGTCCTTTTTATAATAAAATTTTTTAATGACCTTAACAAAAGCAAAATAGTTGGAATTCGTAATTCGTTTAAAAAAAAATTATTAAAATTTGACGAAAGAAATCAAAAACAAAAGAAAATTAAATTTTTTTTCTCCTCCAAAATGTCACTCACTATAATATTAAATTGAAAATCGTAGTTTCACTTTTAAAGTTTTGAAAAAAACATTTAGTTTTTTTTTTGAAATAGAAGCATTAACATAACTTTAAAATACCATCTTTAAATTATAGCTCCTTAAATTTCAAAATTAATATTTATTTTATTAATCATCTGGAATTAAACTAGTAAATAAAATATTTTAAGCGAGTTTGAAGTGAAAAGTGCTAAAAATTAGTCGACTTAATCCTAAATAAATGTTTATCATGCACATCGAAAAAATGACAGTGAACTATTTATTTTATTCATTCATTTCGAAATTAGCTTATAAATAAAATGCTTTATTCTAACAGTATCGCAAGTGTAAGTATTCAAGATCAACAGAAACAATCCTAATTAAATATCTGACATGCACAATTTAAAAAAATTATGGACTATTTATTTTATTTATTCCTTTCGAATTTAGCTAACAAAAAAATATTTTATTCTAAAAGTGTCTTAGCTGACAAATGAAACTTTTTATTCTAAAAGTGTCTGAGGCGTAAAAGTGTTCAAGATCAGAAGACGCAATCGAATTAAATGTCCGACATGCATGCATATCGAAAAGGATGATAGTGAATTATTTTTGAAACTCATCATTGAAATCTCAATCAGTATAAGCCTTATTCTGTTTAAAAATGTAACAAACATATGTGACACACATGCAACAAACTTATTTTTTTCTAAAACTTTTCAAGGAAAAAAAAATATTTTTCAAGATTTTACAAGGTATTCTGATAAAAAAAAAATTATAAATTTTCCCTACTTCATATTATTTAGCAAAATTAAGACACTTAGGCAATTCTAAAATTGCTCAAAACTTCGACAATTATAATCATTGTACTATGATTTAATGAAATACAAATTATACTTTTTATAACTACCTTTATTTTAAAGAAAATTTAATTGATATCCTCTCAGTTTTAATACTTTACTTATCAAAAAATTTAGACTCAGAGAGATAATAGTTAAGGAATCCACTATTTATAATAAAACTATTATAGTATCTCATACAATTGTATTAAAAATTTATAAATTATTAAAAGTTCCTTTGAAGCTTAAATAAAACATTGTACAAGTAGTAATTTTTAAAAAATAATTAGGATTGAATAATTGATTCTTTTTAAATTCAGTTACAACGGCATGAATAAAATCGGATATTAAGTTTATACAAATGTTAAAGAGATGCTCTTTTCATATTTTTTTCAGTGCTTTTTTCTGTGATTTACAAAGTATGCTATTTCGAATGTCAGAGAAAATAATATCTAATTACAAAAGTATCAAGGTATTATTAAAGATTTTAAACTATGTTTGAGAAAGGAAAATAAAAATCCCCCTATTCAATCGGCATTAAATTAAGTACGAGATTTCTTTAAATCGTCCCTTTGTAATAAAATTTTTTAATGGCCTTAACTAAAGCAAAATAGTTGGAATTTGCAATTCGTTTAATAAAAATAATTAAAATTTGACGAAAGAACTGAAAAATGAAAGGAAAAATAATTTTTTTTCTCTACCAAAATTTCATTCATCCATAATATTAAATTGAAAATCGTGGTTTCACTTAAAAGTTAAAAAAAAAACATTTAGTTTTTTTAAAATATTATTTTTTAAAATATGGACTATTCATATTATTCATTCATTTCGAAATTAGCTTATAAATAAAATGCTTTATTTTAACAGTATCGCAAGCGTAAGTATTCAATATCAGCAGACGCAATCCTAACTAAATGTCTGACATGTACGATTAAAAAAAAATAATGGAATATTTATTTAATTTATTCACTTCGAATTTAGCTGACAAATGAAACTTTTTATTCTAAAAGTGTCTGAGGCGTAAAAGTGTTCAAGATCAGGAGACGCAATCTAATTAAATGTCTGACATGCGCATCGAAAAAGATGATAGTAGATTATTTATAATTGAAACTCATCAATCATTGAAATTTTAATCAATATAAGCCTTATTCTGTCTAAAAATGTAACAAATAATCTTAGAAATAAGTGTGTAAAAAACCAAGGCAAATTTACAAGAGTTTTGTTTTTGAAACGAGATGTAAGGCAAAAAGATTAGGCAATTTTGAACTTAAAAAGAGAACAAAAATGCTTCTTTTCTGGCTATTTTACCATAGCATAAAAGTTATAATTCAGGCTAGGCTTAAAGAATTCCGAAATAAATACTCTAAATTACGAAGAAGTACAAGTGACGTAATGCTTAATCTAACAAACCCTGAAAATGGTTTTAAAATTACGTATGACCATGTTGACGAAATGATCATGTGGAGAAATGTCCCCGTCGACGAAATAACCCTATTCTTGAAACGACCCTGTCTCCGAAATGAACTGTCGAGAAAACCGCCCTGTCAACGAAATTATCCTATCGACGAAATGAAACAGTCGACGAAACGACTCTGTTGTCAAAATGGCTGCCGACGAAATGACTCTGTCTACAAAATGACCTTGTCGATGGAATGGCCTGTCGACGCAGTGGTGTCGATGAAATGGTCGGTCAATGAAGTGATTGTCGCTAAAATGAACACAACTCGGTAAAATAAAGTAATAAAAACAAGCATATATTTTATTATAGATCTGTATTATTTATCAAGCACTTTTTTCTCAGATTACTTACGTGTCATGAAAAATTCCATACTCAAGAATCCACTAATTCTTAAAAGTTTCTTTTAAAGATAAGTCATGAGATAAGTATTAAAAGGATTGTTTTATTTTATACAGGGCCTTATTATCACCTAGGCCCTATAGGCATGGGCTAGGGCTCACAATTTCTGAGGGGCCTCAAACATATTACTGTTTTTTAAATACTGAAAGAAACCGTTTTTCTGAAAAAATTAATTTTTTAATTTCAAATTTTCTTTACATCGTGATACAACCTAACTCACACAAACATTGGTTTGTGTGAGCTAGGTTGTATCACGATATAAAGAACATTGGTTTAGGTTGTATATTAGGTTGTACACTTTGGCTTAGGTTGTATCACGATATAAAGAAAATTTGATCAAGTCAAATTCATTTATCAAATTCGTAAGTACAACTGAATTTTAACTGGTGCAATTTCTACGCAAATGGCTTAAACGTATGCAACAAGAATGCACGCTTGCAAAGTCTCTTATAAATTATTAGTGTCAACAGGAGCTCTAGGCTAGTCTGTACCCCAAGAACACATCCAAAGTCTCTTGGAATCAATGCCGAGGCGTGTGGCAGCGGTGATCTGCAACAATGGCGGCTACTCTGGCTACTGATTTTGGGAGGAACCACACTTCACAGAAGTCTATGAATTTGATCATTTGATACTTGGTCAATATGTTATCTACAAAATAAATTTTGTTGTGATATCTCTTGTCTTTCTTGGAGTTTATTTATTTTGTTTATAAATTTTATTAGCCAGCAGTTTATTTTTTTAATAAAAATAATAATTAATAAATTTAATATCTTAGCATACATGCTGAACTTATCTTCAAATCTAATGAAAGATGGGCTAGATTTGTGTTGGTTTAAGTACTAAATAAAAAATTATTGCAGCTTACAACAAAAAATTATTCAGCTAATCAGTGACTTTTAGCAAAAATCAATAATTTAAATTTTTTGTGATCGCCAAACTATTTTTATTTTGACAATTGTTTTGTCGCTTTATATTTTGCTATTATTTATAGATGGGCAAACTTTATCTTAGATAAATAATCTTCAATTGTCTGCTTTCAAAATTTCTTTGAAAGTTTCTCTTGAATCATGCAGTTCAATAGTTTTTTTTTTATTGTAAGGACTACTCTTCAGTAATTTAATTTCAAAATATTGTGTAAGGGGCCCGGAAAATTTTATGGGCCTTGAACCCGAATTTGTCTTGATCGGTCCCTGATTTTAAAGAGAATGTAGGCCAATGTTTAGTTCTCAACTCTAAAATTATTATGCTTTGAAAAAGACTTTTCCTTGCGAAATATTATTTAATACAAAAGATATTAATTATAGCATAGTTTATTTATATAGCATAGCTTATTTTCATATCCCTTGTTACTAATCTACTAGATTTAAACAAAGCATTCCCAGGATTCTTCTTTCTGTTTATGAACCCTATTTTTCTGAGTAAGCTCTTTTTATAAGAAACCATGCATAAATTGTACTTAATAAAAAAGCTGGTATTATAATGAAATATTACAGTAGGAAACTCTATGAAACTATTTATTCCTAGAAGAATAAGGAAAGTTAAAAATTGTACCTTGAAGGATTTGTAACTTCAAGGGTAACATAAAGCGTATGCAAACGTAAATGATCATATCCCTTTTGTCTCTTTTTTGGGAGGGAGAGGGGGCACTGAGGAGTTACCTAGACAAATACAACATACAAGATGCTTTTTAGTTTTAATTGTAGGAGCCTGGAATATTGATAACTCATTGTAAAGAAATCATTGTTGCTTTTTTCAGCAAGGGGAAGAATTTCTTCCATAGAAAAACCTTAAAACTCCTTTTTTTCTAAAAAAAAATCCTTTTCAGAATAACAATTTTATTTTAAAGCCATCGTTAAACAACTGACCCAATTTTGAGTTTAAGACAATCAAAGTTCAACTTCGCAGCCTTGTAATTTTGGACTCAATCCGGAAGACAAAGGAACTCCTGGATCAAGTATTGGGAGAATTTTGCCTTCGTGATGGAACTAACCTGCATCTGCATTGCATGGAGAGAAAAATCGCGAAAACCTCCCACTGTTAGCCCGACGACAAGGGGATTTTAACCCTTGATCCATCTACCTCTGGGGATATTTTATGTCAGCACTGTGGTCAGTGCGAGATGGGTACGGAATTTGTATCGACCAGCAAATCCCAACCATCGCTGGCATTCGAACCCGGTCACCCCATTTGGAAGCGATCGCTCTATTCCCAAAGCCACCTCAGCTCTCACAATATATTATTTAAAAAATTGAAATTTTTTTTAAATTCATTTATTTGTTTTTAGAAATAAGTAGTTTTTACTATGGTAGTATTTGGGCCCCGAGCCCCAATATTACGCATCTCCATTATTTACTTCCCTGAATACAGATTTTGTTAAAATTCTCGTATGCTAGAGTTTTTCATATATTTTAGAAATAAGGTTTTTTTCTTTTTACATTAGAAATACTGAAGAAGTGATCTAAACACTCGATAAATTGAATTTAAGTGAAGTTGAAGGATATTTTTAGTTTCGAGGAAACCTTAATAAATGCAATTTTGTATGATGAAGAGCTAAGTTCTTGAATCAAGGTGAAGGACTACTTGTAATATGCTATACCTAATAAATAACATTAAAAAAATATTTGTTAAGTAAAATTACAGAAAATATTTTTTTTATTATACAAGTTCTATTAAGTTCGTAAACATGTAATTTGTTTTAGTAATCCAGTGTTAACTATTTTGGGACCGACTACTTTCATCAGCTCATTTTCAGTGTAATGGAGGATGGCTGAGCCCGAGAGGTTTCATTTAGTTCTTCATTTTGAAAAATTGCATTTATTAGTATTATTATCCTTCATTCATACAATTCAATCAATTATTTCTTCATAAAAAATGTCTTAGAAGCTTGTGCAACTATAGTTCATTCTAATTATAGTTCATTCTAATTCATAGTTCGTTCACCTGGAGTTGGCACTTGGCTCGACCTCCTCGAACGCAGAGTTCATTTCAGCGCAGGAGTAAGAAGAGAAACATCTCCGCTCTTGAAATTGAGACAACCCTTAATGCTCGCCAAGCACAAACAGTGACTTTTTTTTCAGTCGCTTACTTCGCTTTAGCATCTGCTATTATACCTTTCGTTTCTCTAGCTAATTAAATATATTTTGAATTTAAAAACTGCTGTGTTCTCAGCAAAATTTCTCAAAAAGGACAAACTATTCACTCAAAAGAGAGAAATATCATTAAATTTATGAAATATTTAATGATAAAAAAATGTAGATAAAATTTGCGAAATAAATATTTTTGCCATGCGATCGCCGAATATAACCTTGTTCAGGATTGCTCACAACCTTCTCCCAAAAATAGCGAAATAGTATAGTCGCATACCACATGATGAAAGCTAAACCAAGTGCCAACTTTTGGTGAACGAGCTGTAGCAGGACTAAAGAGAAAATAATTCATTTTGTGCAATACAAATTAATTTAGGTTTTGGAATTTTCTTATAATGAAGTTAATTAAGTAAAATGGAGATTATGCAGGGCAATTTTTGAAGTTATAAAAAAGTTTATTTTCGACAAAAAAAATTCTCTTGACACATAAAATCAAGTTCTCAGATACATAAATCAGTTTTGCAGATAAGAACTCCCTAATTTATAGATAACTATATGAATGAAAGAAAAATATCATGAACTTCTCAAATATTTGAATCTTGTTGTGTAAGCAAGCATAATACATTTAATATAAATTTTTTTGTTACATAATGTCATAGAAATGTTCTGATTTTGCACTATGTAATTATTCGCAAAATAATAGATAATTGGTTTTTATTAGTATAAACTTTGAGCGATAACTTCATAGTTACTGCAAATTGCAGCACCTATTGCAGCTACTGCTCCAAAATATAGAGCTGGTTTTTTCCAGAATATGTTATCAGATGGCTTTTTTGCATCCTTATTTAAAGGAGCGTATACTCTTTCATCCAGACTTAAAATTGCATCTCTTGCCCCTGGCCAAGCATGCGGCCCAACTAATCGAAATTGATATGGCAAACAAGGACCATTCATGCAATACCAGAATAATTTGGGATCTGTGATTGCCATCTTCACAAAATTTGGTTTTGCACCGATTATTTCGGCCAGTTCATCCATAAATGGTATGAAGTCTACTTGAATAGTGTGCCTTGCTGAGCCAACATAACGCTTTGCATTTGCTTCGTTTTTACGAGCAATATCCTCTTCCATTTCTTTTAGTGATGGTAATTTAAGTTTTCCTCCTTGAATTTCCATAAACCAACGACTTTGCATCTCTGAGAGTGGAAAAATTGGTCCTAAAGGTTGACATAAACCAATAATGCCCAATGTAGGATGTTTTAAGTGAGGTGGGATAGAATATTTATATAAATGAACTCTATTCCCATCTGTTGAAAGTATTTTACTATCAAGAAAAGGGAATTTAATATGATATCCGGTTGCCAGAACAACTGCATCACATTCAGTTACCTCATTTTCTCCAGAAAATACAATACCATTTTCTTCAAATCTTACAATATCACCTTTAATTATAACTTTTCCACTGAGAATAGCATTTGGTATCCCATCATTCATCGTAGGATGTGCACTTAGGACTCTGTGCTTGGGTTTCAAATTATAAGTTTCATGATCAAATTTCGCATTCAAATCCTGTTCTAACTTGTCACAGACGAAGTCATATGGTAAATAGGAAAAGAATAAGTTCTTTACTCGAGTGTTGAAATCCATATCAAACGGTGAGCCTTTAGTTCCGACCCTGGATAATATCCAAGAACCCCTCCGAGTGCTTAGATAAACCTAAGAGATACAAATTTATAATGTATTATGTTTTCAGAAGTCGTTGCAGTGTAGAATAGAAATGAATTAAACAATAACTTGTTATTTTATAACTAGTGAATAATTTTTAGAATACATTCTAAAGTTTTTTTTAACGCCAAAATGATGTCATGTATTTATTCAAATAACTTAAACTGTTAATGATTCATTACTTTTTAATATATATTTTTCATTGCTGGGTTTTGGACCTTAAAAAGACTTTCAAAACTGTCAGTTTTAAGTTTAAAAACTATTCACCAACCTCATTGCATTGATATATCCATAATCTGAAATGAATGTAACTCATCTATATAGTATTCGTTGGAATTTTTCAAAAGTAATTTTTTAAAATTTCTTTACTTAATTTTTAGTTCCGCATACGGTTTAGATTACTATCAAATAATCAATACTTCCTTTTTGACTAAGTTCGAAATGCCGATAAAAGATCTTCAATATATGGAGTGCTTCTTGAAAATTAGAAAATATACGCACTGTTGTTCTAACTTTTGCCACATTTTAGCACTTTTTTAGCATACACTTTTATATAAAACTCTGAAACACAGGTGTGTCTACGGGATCGACAAGGCCCACAAAAGTGCATTTTTTAGAAAGCTTAAAATTCCTAGATTTTTAATTTTTAGACAAATTTTGCTAAAATGGAGATAACAATAAAAATTAAAAAAGAAAAAAAACATTATTTTGCTAGCCTTTAGCTCATTTTTTTAAAATTCAATTATTTTCTCACTTTATATTTTTTTACGCAGTTTGCTATATTTATATTATTTTTTTCGTGCTTATTAAAGATAAAATGCCTCTTATAAAGGTATAACAAGTTATAAATGATTGACTTATTAGTCATTTGTTTTAAGAAGCTACTCGGGTATTGCCCAATGCGGACATGTATCTCGTTGGCTCTTTCTTTTTTTTAATTTTATATAATTTTTCACAATTCCGCGTCTTGTTAAGAACTGACATTAACTTTCACCTCAACAATCTTAATTATTAAAACATCATTGAAATGTGAAAACGCTTATAACTATAGTGGTCCACTCCTGCTATGATGTGTGGGTATGCTTATTATGCTTGTATCTCTGCATGCCTCTATTGTGTACGTATTATTGTATTGATGTACGTACTCTATTGTGTATGTACTATTGTATCTATGTACGTGTCTGTATGTACTATTGTACCTATGTATGCATCTATCTTAAATTAACTAAATTTTCAGCATGTTGATAGGTGGGTCGTTATATGCCTATACTAGTTTTATGCTGAAGGCGCCAATCTGCATTAGTAAAGGTTTTTGAAAATGAGAAAAATTGAAAATTCAATTAAAAAAATAAATGTTTTATAAATCCATTCCTTAGTGAGAGAAAATTACATTGGAATAATAAAAGTTAATGAAGAGATACATTTGTAGTCAAATGAGGCTTATTTTCATTGTCATATTTGTATCACTCTATTTTCTGAAAATATATTTTTATTTTTTAAACTAAAAGACTTACAACTGTAGTGTATCCTGACGTAAAATACAATGAAAATCGAAATTATTATACCCTTAAAGGAGCTTAAATGTTTGAGTATTTCCTAATTACTGCTCTTAAGGATATTTTTTATCAATACCCATTTTTCGTTACATATATGTTATATTTTAGAAATATGTGTTTTATATTACTTTAGCTTCAAGACTATCAACTGTAGTTTATATTGAAACAAAATAAAATGAAAACCGAAATTATTATACCTTTAAAGCTTAAATGATCTTATATGATGCTTAAATGATCTCATTACTCATTTTTCGTAAAGTGGTTGGTTGATTCAATTTTTATAAAAATTAATTCCATTGAGCTGTGTTTCTTATCCGATACTGAAAATTCTTACAGTTTTGTTGCAGAATTCAAACAGCCATAAGGACTTAGTATTTTTCGATTATAATTTTATGTTCATAACTTCAAAAACTCACCTGCTTTGCAACAAACGTTGAATCAACTGCAGCATCAACTCCAGAATTTCCTATTCCAACAACAACGACGGTTTTTCCCTTATAATGATCACAAGACTTGAGGCTATGTGTGTGTGTAATCGATCCTTTAAACTTGGCTTGATTTGGAAAAGTGGGGATATTTGGAAATACATGATGGCCAATGCATACCATAATTCCATCAAACGTTTCTTTAGTAACTGCTTCTGTTTGAGTACTCTTTACTGATACTATCCACCGACCTGTCCTCTCAAAGTCTGGTGTAGGTTCCACTTTAACTACCTCTAAATTAAACCTTGAAAAGAGTATAAGACCATTCGATAAGAAATTCCTTATGAAACAAAATTTAAGAAAAAAATATAGATTCAAATCAGTTGAAATGAATATATTAACAATGAGATAGAAAACACAGTTTCTTCCAGAATTTTTCTTTCTTTTTGTTATTGCTCAACCGGGTATCAGAAAGGCAGATTTGCTGACCACTTTTTCAGAGGCATCATATTACTTGGACCAACGTTGTCCTCACAGTAAGAAGGACAGATAAGACACCCATGCGTTCTACGGGATTCAAACCAGGGACATTTCTGAAATGGAATCAGCTCCCTGACCGCCATTCATCCCGATGCTATTTTTTCTAAAAATTGAATAGCGTTCTCCTTCCAATCAGGTGAGCAGGGTTGGAATTCCCTGCGATGGCTGGTTGGAACGATTCTTTTTCCGGCTTTCACCGACCACAGTGTTGACGTGAAATATCCTCAGTGGTAGATGAATCATGGGTTAGAGTTCCTTTGTCATCAGGCTAACAGTGGGTGGTTATCGTAGTCCCCCTTTCCACGTAACGCAAATGTGGGTTAGTTCCGTCAAAAAGTCCTCCACGAAAGCAAATTTCTCCTAACGCTTGATCCAGGAGTTTGTCTTCTGAATTAGGTTCAAAATTACAAGGCTACGGAGTTAAACATTAGCAGTCGTAAATCCAAAAAATTGGGTCGGCTGTTCAACGATGGTTATAAAATAAAATAAAAATTTAATAAGTTGGTTTGAAACTAAGTGTCAAAGTTGCTTATTGCGTCTAATCAAATAGACGAGTTGAAAATATGCTTCATTTTACAATGCAAGTTGCATAAAGTGGGATACATACTAAATATTTTTTAATGCACATAAAAAAGCAGGATGATGATTAGGAAAAGGATTAAAGTTAATTAGTCCTCCTTACTTTTATCCTAATAAATATTTTAATCACTTGTAAGAACGACATATTTAAAAAAAAAAAAACAGTTTTATGACTGTAGAATGTGCAAAAAAGTTGACTTATTAATAATTTTTGAGTCAATAGTCACTAGTAGTCCAATAGTGATCTAGTAATAAAATATTGGTACACTGTTTATAGTTTGAGCACCTCAAGATATGTTTATTAATCAGCGCTGATGATTAATTAAGATATAAGATGAAACTCAAAGGATTTAGAATCTTGTCCTTTAAAATATGGAATGTAATTACCATCTCAAAAATATTGCAATGATAGTTTAATCAGAAAATTAGTTGTTTGACTCCCTTTAACGATGTTTTTACTTATTGTGTTTATTGTTATATCTTTTGAAAGAAAGTATAAAGAGCTAATAGAGTAATTCAGAATATTTTTGCTCCTATTTATGAAACTCGATTAGCTGAATATAATGTCATACAAAATATATGTTGTTTTATATATTTTTTGTGTGCATATTTTCATATAGCAAAATAATATGCGGTTGAATTTAATGAGGCAGTCCGAAAGGTTTTCTATCTAGAACGACCAATGGTTAACAAATTTTTCAAAACCTTACAGAACTGCGTAAAAAAATCTTGAAAATCTTTAATTAATTAAAATATAGCACAATTTTATAACAAAAATTAGATATTCTTTAGAACTGATACAAAAATAGTAATTTGGATAACTGAAATTCGCAAATAAATCAACCAATTTCATCAAGTGTACTGAATGGTGCAAGAAATATATAAATTTAGGTGACTTTATTTAATAAAAGTATAAAATTTGTAAAATGTCAGATTAAACAATGTTTTAGCTGCATGCATCTAATTACGATTAATTAATAATCATCATAATAAATGTTTTCAGAAATGAAATTGTGTACGGTCTAATTAAAATTATACAAAGCCGCCCATTCAATCTAGTTAAAGATACAAAACTTATTAAAAAAATCCTTAAAAATACACTCCCGTAGCAGCTCATTGTGTGACAGGGGGTCATAAAGGTGAAAGCTCCATTATTTCGTGACCATCAGCTCCTAAAATATGTTCAGCATTGCTTACAGGACACCTTTACTTCACATATAAGCTGATATTATATCTATTTGAATCCAGTTGGGCTTCAAGCCACCGGTAGAGATCAGACCCCAGTCCTTCACAATCAGAGATGAGTGTATAAACCGTCAAGAAATCGTTTAAAAAAGTTATACGAGGTTAAAATTTTCTTTAAATATAGTAGTCTACTTACAAAAAAAAGTTATGCATCATTAGCTGATTTTAATGTATTGTGTACAAGTTATAAGTGACTAAATATTGAAATTGGACCTTTCCTTAAATTTATAAATAATTTTGATGTCTTACTTGATATGTCTTAAAAGGTCAAAATTTTCCGCATAACGCATAAAGTAATTGAACATCTTGCTATTGTGCATGTAATTTGGAAAGGATTTTGGTGGAGGAAAATCGCTAAATGCACCAACTTCTTTACTAGTGTTGATGATGGTTGTACGCATTACAGATGCAACTCCTTCGATATCCTCTTCATGATACCTCCAGAGGCCTCCTGGGTCGTTATTCCTCTCGTAACAAACAGGTATAAAGCCTTTTTCTTTACAGCATTTCATAGCAGTTAACCCACTGGGTCCTGCCCCAATCACAGCTATTTTCTTTCGTTCTGACATACCTGTGCAGGGGGAAAAATAAATATGGGTTTTAATAATAAAAGAAAAACATTACACCTTTGATTTCTATTTTTTTTTAATTGGCAATTGTACAAAACAATTCGTATGAAACATTCGTAGAAACATTCATATGAAACATTCATAATTCGTAAATACAATTTGTATAAGATTTCCAAAAGGATTTGTGAAGTGCGTGTGTAAAATCCTTTTCTGAATTATTACCAAAGGGGATAAAAATGTGAAGAAAATGCAGAATCTAAAGAAATTTTTTATAGAGAATTAAAATCTTTATTCATTCTCTAGGGAAGTGGCTCCCAATTTTTTTCGGATACGGAATCCTAAATAATCAAACTTCTTCCGGTTAACCCTGACTTCATAATTAAGGTACAAGATAACTAAAGACAATTGTGCACGTATTAACCATTAAAAGAATGCTTCATTTTTGACTTTCATATTTTTTTATATTCATTAAAAGTTATTAAATTTTTTCATTGTTTATAATTAATAATCTTCAATTAGGTTAGATGTTCGACAGTTGGATTCGCAGTTTTGGAGACGAATCTAGTCAAGCTAAAAATTTGTAATTGTAGGTTGCAAAATGTTTGTAGTAACAGGAACAGTTTTTGCCAAACGGCAGTTCATTAGCTAAAAGGTAATTTTCCAATTATGTATTTTTTTGTGCTTAAATCACAGAGAATTTCTCTTTACATTTGATGAACTGAACAGTTGACTAAATTTAATATCTAGAATGTCAAACAAAATTTTCAAAATTCCTGTAAAGTAAAAATTTTTGGAAGGATACAGTGACTTCTTATTCCGACGTCTTTGTTCGTTCTTTCGAATTAATATGAACGGAAAAGCTTTGAATTAAGGTTGTTTCCCCAGCAGTTAATACAATTATCACAAGCGATAGAAATAAATTATATTATTTTTAAGCAAATAAAGACTGTAGAAAATACAATAAATGCAAACGGAAAATAATTTAAGTAATGTAAGAGTAGCATAAAAGCACATGACATTTTTCCAAATGTTACGCGCTCTAACATTTTTAAATTTACGTTTACTATACTACTTTTAAATGCTTACGGCAAAAAGGGTATTTTCCAAGAAACGTTTAAATTAAGTACTGTATTAAAAATTGAAATTAAAAATTAATTCTGCTTCAAATGAGAAAAAAGCTCATTTCTCGAAGATTAAAAACTTTTTGATAACAATTTTATTTTTAAAATTTACAATTAAATTCCTCTCTCACTACACATCTAAACTTCAAAGTTTTGAAAGTTTTATGCATCTTTCAGAAGAGTGTGTTTTCTAAAATTGTATTTTGTAAGTTGTAAAAGCAAAATGTAACAGATTTATTAAAGATAGTACAAATTTAAGATTGAAATACAAGTTAAATCAATGCGAAATTAAAAAATGAAAATTAGAAACTAAAATTCATTGATTAAAAGTTAGATTAATTAAGATTAATATAAGTTAGATTAACATAAAGAATTGCAAAATTTGGAAATAAAGCTGAGTTGAATATTTTAAGCAATTCAAAATTCACCTAGAAATAATAACCATTAATCTAATCTTCCTATGTGACATTTTTACCACATTTTAAATGAATTCGTGAAAGCATGCAAAAAGTCTAAAATAATTATTTTGTGAAAAGATTTTCTCAACAGCGTTTATCGAAGCTCTTTCGCCTAGAAAAATGAAAAAAAATCTATTGTTTAAGTGCCTTACACTTTAGACAAGGCTAAAGTTTAAGAGTTTATTTACCATTTTGCCATGAACAATTAATCTGGCTTTAGAACGAACAAATTTCTCAAATATTTTTAACGTTGTTAAAAATTTTTAAAAAGCCCCAATTTGAGGAGATTTTTCTACCTAAATGAAAATTATCCAACAACAATGAATAATTCTCAGCTTTTACAAATTTTAATGAGCCCAGATAATGAAGTGAGTAACCTTTTAAATATTTAAATTTCAGATTACAAACACTTTTCCTTTTCACAGAACTGTGAATTTTATCATTTTGACGTTTCGCGTTCTATTCAGAATAAGCACAGAGGGCGCTGACTAAATATAGGCTAAACTTGAGACCTAATAGTCTTGAATAACTGTTGTAAGCATACTTATGAAAATAGCATATTATTATTAGCACAAAAGGAATATTTCATGGGGCGACATAGCCTTCGAATAATAGCCGTAATAGCAAATGTTGTGTTTTCTGATAAAGTTTAGTGTAAATACAAACAAGTATATATATATATATATATATTGATGTCTTACTTG